AGAAGAAGAAGAAGAAGAAGAAGAAGAAGAAGAAGAAGAAGAAGAAGAAGAAGAAGAAGAAGAAGAAGAAGAAGAAGAAGAAAAAGAAAAAGGAGGAGGAGGAGGAAATATAAGTTTTGTGATTAGAGTCACAGAGTAAGTTTTTACTCTAAATCATATTGGAAGGCCTTAACATCTCAATATAAATTTTGTACAAATTTATCCACAGCTTTAAATTGGGGATAACTCCTCACTTTTCTTTATGGCTTGTTTGTTTTGAGACAGAGTCTCGATATGTAGTTCAGGCCAGCCTTGAACTTGCAATTATCCTCCTGCCTCAACCTCTTTTACATTACATTTAGTTAAGATCCTGTATTAGACAGCTTTCCCACTGCCAGGATACACAGTACCTAACACGACGTAAAGGACAGGAGGTTTAACTTGGCTCATGGTTTCAGGGGATTCCGTGTATGGTCTGCTCATGGTGAAAGTGGCAGTGTAAAGATGCTCAGTTCAAGGAAGGGGAAGAACACAGGGGAACAGTGCCAGAGAAGGTGCCAGGTACCAGATGTAGACCTCAGAGTCTGACCTCCATGACACACCCAGACACACTGAAAAATGTGCTGTATTAATTTCCTCAGTAGCTCCCAAGCCAATCGATTTGACAGTGGCTTTAAATGGTCACAGATCCATTCACTCCTTATAAGAGCAGACATTGCAGCTCATTGTAATTCCCGTTCTTTGTATGTTTTACGTGATATTTGATGGTTATGTAACTGGAATGACACATTTGAACTTTAAGTTAGATTTTTTTCTTTTAGAGATAACCAATGTTTCTAAACTTTCTCTTGCTGAGCACCTAATCAGCATTCCCTCCTCGCCTCCACCAAGGGCAGCCAAGTGTTTATCACTGTCCTCAACACAGAGATGTACTTTCTCCTTCATATCAGTAATGAAAAACTCTACTCAGTATCCCATATTTATAAACACATGGAGTATCACACACAGACTGAAAGACAACAATGACCACAGGAAAAAATGTGCAGAAAATTACAAACAAAGTGAATATTACTTATGCACAGTGAGGTCAATGCCAGTATGAGAAAACAGAGCAATTCCACAGCACTGTTTTTGATAAGGAGGTAGGAGTTAATGAAAAGTCACAAGGATGAACATTTGTCCCAGGAATGTTTATTCTAGGACTGTAATAAACATGTAGAACTGTGTACCATGTTAGATCACATTCAAATGTCTTCAATTCTGTATTTTATACTCAAATATTGACCTCCAGTGTCAAGAAGTGTACACGAAAAATGCAAACAAGAAATATCACAATGACAGTTTTGGGAGTTATATTCTATGAAGAAAGAGTGAAAGAATAAAACATTTTAAATGTAAGATTTAAACAGCTACATTTTATGTATGTAAGTGTACATATTTCTATCATATGTACATACTTTCTATATTTGGGAAGTGATTTTGTATAACCATAGCCTTGAGATATATGAGTACCATACAGATGAGGAAATACATTAATTTTCTAAATAGCCTGGAGCTCTATCAGCTCAAATCACCAGGAGGGGACTTTAACAGATGCTTTTTTATGGCTGAATCCTATGCCGGTCATAGACACTGACTTTAGCCTCGCCTAGAGCCACTCCTGCTGCAATGGATGAGGAAGATCCAAGAACTAAACCAAATGAGAAAGGACATGGGAGGGAATTTAAGGGACCAAAGGACTTTATCAAAGGAGAATATCTACACAATGGTTTGAGCCACAGACAAGAAAATCCTGGAAAAAGTCCATGGGTCTCAAATCTGAGTTAGCAGTGGTCCAGGCACAGGTGGGAAAATTCTATTACACAGTATGATTTAGTAATAATGTAACCCTAACCTCAAGTAAGCCAATATCCAAGCCTTGAGACAGTCTGTTCTTCATAGGAAAAGATTTCAGAGCTTATCTGAGCTCCCATCACAATTTAAAGGCTAACTTATTCCATTGGGTGGACTAACATTACTCACTCATGGAAGAGTTTCTCCCTTCTATTCTCTATTCTCTGTCTTAACCTTTACTTAAGGAGTATTGCGCTTTGATCCCTGCATTGTCCATTTCCTGGGAGTGGCAAGGTCAGGCACAAGACCAGCCTTGGAGGAGCAGAGCCTGATATAGTCCGTGCCTGACACATCCACTGAACCTCTGTCCTTTACTCTAATCTTTGTGCTTAAATGTCACTTGAAGAAGGAGTTTTCCTTCATGGTTGATTTGGCTGATTGATTCTCTGGCCGATTTTAAAACAAGGAGGAGAATGGAGAAGAGGGACTTTACTTTCAGTGGCTTAGCAGACTCTATCATAGCACTAATCCTGTTGCATAAACATGGAAAACCTAACATTTTAAATTTATCTAAAATAAGTCAGTCGTATGCTGAGATGACAAAATACAACTCCGAACTCTGCATTTTACTATGTCTTCTTTCTGCTAGCCGACATGATTTTTGATTGGAAGATATTTGGGACTTAATTTTATTCAACCTTCTACCCTTTCATGTATCACCAACTCACAGGGGATAAGAGAACCGGAAGAGTTGACTTAGCAGTTGGGGATCTGGCCACAAGATGGCAGCGCATCTCTGCTGATGCAGAATGTATGGTTGATTTCTTCAAGAACGGGCTACAGACCAAGCAGGTGCCCGTGTAGACAGCTTAAAAAATCGCTGTGCTTTAGAGGAAAGGAAGAGAAAAAACCCGACAGTAGAAGCAGCTCTCCTGGCTAAAGGTTGCCGCCCGACTGCAGAGGGCAATGAAGACACTGACCGGCCCTTTGTTCCTGTGCCTGTGGCTGCAGCTGCACCGTGAGTTGGGAGGTTTTGGAAATGAGGTGCTTAGTAATATTCTTCATAAGTCTGAGGACAAGTCTGGCCTTTCCCGGACTGTCTGAAATTAATGTAGGAAAAATTTCAAAATCTGGAGAATGATGACTGATGATTGTCTGACTTTTCCTTTTGCTCAGGTGTGGTTGGAGGAGGGCAGGTGGAGCAGCGTCCTTCTTCCCTAAGCGTCTTGGAGGGAGATAGCTCTGTTATCGACTGCACTTACACAAACGGTGCTTTCTCCTACTTCTACTGGTATAAACAAGAGCCTGGCACAGGTCTCCAATTGCTCATACATATTTTTGGAAATATGGACAACAAACAAGACAGAAGATTCACTGTCTCTTTGAATAAGAAAGACAAACATCTCTCCCTGAACATCTCAGCTGCCCGTCCTGGAGACGCAGCCACCTACTTCTGTGCTGTGAGCACACAGAGCTCCCAAGGCACCTGCGGCCTGTGCACAAACCCGGGGCTGGGGCTGCATGCACAGTCTGTTGTTTCCACCTTTGAGATCAGCATTTTCCTGTATTATGTTTTTAATATATGATCTTTAAAACATACTGAGACAAGGTCAATTTCTGTTTTAAAAAAGACCAAATAAGTATTAGGACTTTTTCAATGAGCTCTCTTTGAGAGCCAGATGTGTTAGGTAGATGTCACATCTCTAGGGTTGACTTTCATGTGACATTCAGATTTCTTTTCTTCCCAGGACATCCGGTATCAGTGTCAGGCAACAGTCTTTTCAACTGAAAGGCTTTTATCTTTTAATAACTGCGTTACTAGCTGGTTCTGATAATATCATTATTAGCTGATGGTATAGGAAAAACCAGTAAAACTTTCAAATGTTTTCCAGTCTTGTGGTATAGATAAATCATGGCTAATGTAACATAGTCTCTCTTCATTAAAATGTTCTTAAAATTAGGACTAATACTTTGATTTTCTTCTATCTAATTTTTTATAACCTAACCTGAGGGTTTCACATTTTTCAACTCTTATAAAGTCTATTTTTTAATTTTATGAGTGATTTTGCAAGTCCCTCTTTTTTTCTCCTCTAATCATCTCCTTATATGTGTACTGAAAGACAAAGCTCAAATGTTTCCCTTTACACAGGTAAGTGGTTTTATGAATATAAGATGTTTTGTATTTGCGTTGTTGTAGAATAACCTGTTTCATCAACCCGTGCTGTTTCTCTGCTCTCTTTCCTTACTTGAGGTGCTGAGTCTTTTTACTTGTCCCTTAATTTTTCTATTTTTGCATTAATTTAAAGGAAAAATTGTGTGTTTCCAACATTGTAAATTGTAGTTTTTATTTTTATCATGGACCATACTGGGTTTATTAAAACTGTGCCAGATGAAGACAAGGAGGTCAGTATAGTTTTGGAATTAATTGCAAACCAGGGGCAAGGATGTTTTCCGGTACAATGTTCTCCCACCCATGTCAAGACCTTAGATGGAGCTGTGATGGAGTCTTTTAAGTCTTTTACTGCTGTCCAAACTGTGCCTGAATTGTTTGGATACTTCCATCTCCCGTGTGACTTGTGCTATTATCAGTGACATAAGATCCCTGATTTGGTTCCTTAGTAATGACATTGATTGTTGAGAGCCATTCTATATAATTTTTTTGGGAAAAAATCATTTCATAGTTAAATTATGGTTAGGGCTCTTTAAGGCCTAGTATCATGCCATGCAGCCGGCCATGGTATTTGGAAACATAATTTCATCTGTCTCTGGTAACAGTTGAGGCCTTAATGGTCCCATGAAGCTGTGATGCTCCAGGACAAGATTACATCAGAAGACATCCTGGTTCCTTGAGAACCTAGTACTAATAAAAAAAATTTCCCCCGGGGAAAGGACAAACTCTTTATTAACCTGCTATCTCTTCCCACCTCCCATTGTAAGGGCACTTTGCACATCCCACCATTCTCAACTGAACATAATATTCTCATCAACATAATATTCTCATCAGCATAAGATCACTGCCTGCCCGCTCTCTGAGTCATCCAACATTCCCTTTGATTATTGTCTGCACCCAATAAATAGTGGCTAGCTTGGAGTGTCTGTCTTTGCCTATTTTCAGGGATTTGTTCCAGCCCCCCTGTCATGCATTAGTAACTTTGTCTCTGTCTCTTTTTCATCCTTTCACCATACCCCTCATACAGGCAGTTGGGAATATTGGCCAGGTCCCCAATAAATGATGCTGTTTGCTATTCTTTTAATGCCATGCAAGCAAACAATATTTTTCCCGAGGATACAAATGTTTAGCAAAAATAAATGCTTACTTTTCCAAACATCTTACAAAGAACAGTTGATGCAACCTAATTTATATTTTGACTGCCTTTGAACTTATTATTTTCATTATTAGTGAAAGCCTGCTCTTCCTTTATTATCTGTGATCAGAATTACTCATTAGATTTTCAGCCTCATCCCCTGGATCTCTTCCTGCTCCCAAGGGCCCCGCCATTGCTATAGAAGCTTGTGGCTAACTGCTCATTGGTTCCTGGAATTGTCTCTACTTCCCAGGTGCTCTTTGTTTCATATTGGCAGAAACATGGATCTGTTCAACTATCCCTCAAGCCCGTCCCTCTTACACCACTGTCTTAGTAGCTTTCCTCATTCTGGGAGAAAGTGCCCAGGACTCACAGCTTGTAGGAGGAGAGATTTACTTTGGCTCATGGTTACAGTCCCTAGTCAGCTGGCTCCAAAGCAGAAACAGGATGGCAGAGGCTCATAGCAGAGAAAAAGGTGCTCAACCCAGGGTATCCAGAAGCAGAGAGGCTGGAGAGGAGGCAGGAACAGTAGTACACCCTTCCATGTCACACTTCTGGTAACCTGCATCCAAACAGATCCCACCTCCTAACAGCTACTGTGTTCACCAGCGGGTAAATTCACTGAGGAGAATACCGCCCCCATGACCTAATCACCTTCCACATACATGAGAATTTGGGGGATATTTTAGATCTGAACCATCACATCCACTGTAAGGAAAAAATTTCTCAGCTTTTAGGCCCAGGTCGTGGATCCTTTCCTATCCAACATATACCTATACCATCTATATCTACTCTCTATATCTATATCTATATCTATAACTATGTCTATCTATATCTGTATATCCATACCTCTATCTCTATCTCTAAATCCATATCCATATCCACATCCAACCTCTATCCCTATCTTGAGCTTGAGCTCTAGCTCAGTATCTGTATATCTATGTCCTTTTTTATGCTTTGGGAGTTGAAATGTAGGAATGATGCTAGTAAGTGCCTGGAATGCACAGATCACCAACTTTATCAATGTGTGAAGTACTGTGTGTGAAGCACTGAACACAATCCTGGCACGAATTCATAGTCACTCACTGTTGAATGATGTTGGTATCTTAGCAGTGTTTCCCCTCACTATAGACATAGGTAGGCAAACATGAACAGCAGATGCATTTCTCTCTTATTTCAGGGTGTATGTTCACCCTTTAAAAATAAAGCTGTATATCACGATGCACCCTGAATTAAACACGTCCAGGATTAAATGTTGACTTTGTTTAAACTCAGTTTTTCCTCCCCATTTCTCTTTCTGTCAGACCTGAAATGTCGAGTCCATCACACACGTACCATTCTTGGGCCTCATCTCTATTATTTCTAAGTTTTTCCATAACATTTGAAATATGAAACAGCATCTGTCACAGCTCTGTCTGCCCATGTTATTTAAAATACAGCCCTCCTCACTCAATTTCCCCCATACTTCTTTCCTATTTTTCTATAGAATTCCTCATTATCCACTATTTTATTTATTTATCTGGGGTAGTGGGAAAGATCAGGATTATTCCTCAAGTTGTGCAGCACTGTGTAAGTCAGATGTTCTCGCAAATTCTCCTGCAGCAGCCCTACAGGGCAGAGAGAGTGAATGTGACCCTCCTCCTCCCAAGAGGAAATCTGGGTGATGGGGACACAGGAGCCCAAGGGGCCTTCTAGAAACGCAGTCTGCCGCTCACTTTGAAACCCTCCAGTGATCATTTTTATTCTGTTTCATAATACATCTTGATTAATTTTAGTGTAACACTATCTTTTAAAAATTTATCCGTTGACCTTGTCTTCCAGTAGTAATAGTGCTCCCAGAGGGTGCGTCCCATTTATCTTATGTTCTGTCTGGACAGAAGAACGCTCTCATTTGAGAAACACAAAGACAAATATTTGAAAAAGAAGTGTTGTAAGATCATCAGGCAATCAATAAATAATTAAGTATTGAATATTAAATAAATAATTAAGTATTAAGTATCACCATCATGATGCAATCATGTGTTGTTGTCTGAAAATACTCTATTGATGTCTTAAATACTGAACTGTTGTCTCCTGTGTGACTTGTGCTATTATCAGTGACATAGGATCCCTGATCCTATGTCAGAGACATTTCTTCATCGTTGCATTTTTTGCTGACAAAATAACATCATCATATTCTTTTACCTCTAAGGATTTTCCCCAGTACCTCCATGTCTGAGCCATTGAGAGGTGCTTGTTACTTACAAAAGAGCATTTCCTAAGATGCATTTCTAATATTCTGTTCTTTGACATACTTATGTCTGCCTTTCCATTATGTTATTGTTTTGTTTTGAGCATTCAGATATCTCTGTTCCTCCTTCTTTAGTTTTATCAGCTAAAATTTTTGCATTTTGAAGAGAACCCTGTGCAATTCTTTCCCTTTGTCTGCCTGCTCTGTAATCATTGGTGATCATTTTGCCCTCAGACAGACACCAATGAATAGATTAACACAACTCTCAAAAAAATGGAGAGTTTTGGTGACCACACTATAGAGACTTATAAAATAAAAAAAAATTAAAAATCCACCATATGGGAGTGGATGCCTTCCTTTGCCATGCTGTTCCTGCTAAGAGGTACACAGTGCTTTTCAAATGATTCTACTTGTGACCATCAGGTGGCAATGTTTCTTTCCCTTTGTAAATGAGCACCTGTGCCTAGGAAGTAAGTTTAGGCAAGGGTAGTTTATGTGGGATTGAGCAGACAGCAAGTACTTCTATTTTACTGTATTAAAAGACTAAGGAAAGAAAGATTCTTTGGCTACATGATTTTAGGCAGCATTTCAGTTATCAGAACAAAGTATCCGAATGAAGAAGGTGCAAGGAGCTGTGCTTATATTTTGGCTGCACTTGGCTGTGAGCTGAGGCTTTCTAAGATCTGGGAGCCTCCCGGAGATATGCATTGAAATCCAAGGGAAAGGCAGGGATGTAGTTCGGACTCAACTGTCTTTTTGCTGAAGATTTAGAATCAAACATCTGAACTACAGCCTACATATTGTGACTGCTGTTGTACATCTGAACAGGGCTGAAAGGAGAAAACCAGGTGGGGCAATGGCCTCGTGGCCTGGGGCTCCAGGAGGGATATGGTGCCTTCATGAGTTGCATTTATCCAGTCAGCGTTTTTGAGCATCCACAGTGGTACAGGCAGGACGAGGGGCCAGGACTCCCACACCTGTCTTCCGTGTACTCAGCTGAAGCCATGAGACAGAAGTGAAGACTGAGAACCACGTTACTGAAGGATGGAAGCAGCTTGTCCCTCACAGCCTCGCAGCCTGAGGATCAGCCACCTACTTCTGTGCGGTAGCCATGCAGGGCTCCCTAGGCACCTGCGCTCTAACCCAAACCTGCAGCTGGGCAGGGGACATGAGGGATGCATGGCTGAGCAGGCTGAGCTGGGTCCCTGTGTGGAGCTGTGGGCTGGGGTGCCTAGAGAGGTGAATGGCAAATGCTGCTGTCATCTGGCCATACCTGTTACCAGGCTGCCCTCCACATCCTCTGCAGCCTCCTCTGACTACCCAGCCCGACCCTTCTCTTCCTCAGGAGACACCGGAGCCGGCCCAGCTGTGTGTGTGGAGAGCACCTTTAGGCCCGATAAAGTTTTTCTTCTACCACACCCGACAGAA